GTTTCTTCTTTACTAAGATCTATATACACTTCACTTCATCAAATCTTAATAAAGTGAGCATATAAGTTTCATCACTTGACACTGCTGCAAAAAAAAAAATCCTTCAACTCAACACCCTTATTGTGGTAACTGGACATTTCGCACAAAAGACGTTTTGCACAAGTCTTTTAGCACAAGTTTTGTACCATTAGCACAATTCTTAGTGGTCATTTTGCACAATAATTATAAGTGAGAAACATCAATATAAAAGGTATACTGATTGATACTGATAAGACATTTCACCTTCACATGTCACTTTCAATAAGATCCAACAGCAAGAACAGACATTTATTTCTGTAATAACTTCAACTAGATCGAAATGCTTGTGAACATGATCACTATTCTTACTTGAATAAAGGAAAGTACAAGTCTCTCTCTCTATGAAAATGTAAAGAACTCCCTACTCGAATGACTATTTCTATAACTTTTCCTTTGTTAAATGAAAAACCTTTTAGTTTTGAAAGCACATCATCCACTACAAACATGCAAACATGACGACCCACACAAAGGACACCATGTTGATTTCGAAAGTAATTGTCACCAGTCTTCCCTCCTTGTTCGATCACCTTCAAACAGTATGTTTTATCGATCTCTAAGAGTTTCAAATAAAGCTAATGAAAACTTGCTTCTTATATCTTCGTTATATAATGACAATTAGGCATACTGGTGATATGTACAGCAAAAACAGTTCAATGTTAATAACTCCATATTGAGAGAGTGCTTCGCATCGAATGTTGGCATGTCCAAGTGTAACGATTTGACAACTTGAACATGTCAGTGTAGTGACAAACTAGTGATCTTGTAGAAAGACAAGTTCGATCTGTAATCTTTTTAAAGATCATAAAGTTTCATACATCTATCAAGTAGTAATCCTTTCAAATTATTCTTATAACAATTACCTAAGCGATGGAGAGTTCAGTATCAATCGATAAGCGTCATAGCGACCGTGATGTAAACAAATGATTTCACTAAAGTTTCAAGAATTCAAAATAATTCAAAGATTATAGGCTAGCCGTTCGATAAGTAATCATACAAGCTTAAGATCAAAACAAAGAAAGAAATCTAGATGTATTATAGCTTAAATGAATATAGGAAAGGGCTAAATTTCTATGAGTCTTGACCGAGTGGTGAGTTGAAATATACATGATTCGTCAGGTAACATGGCCATGACATAGTTGAGATATAGATGTAATTGTTTATCAGAGTTCATCAATTTCATCCAAAATGCAAAGACAAGCAGTACTTGGTGTGTAAGTGACAGATGACTGTCTTCTTGGTAAGTTACTCATCATAGTTCATTACCTTCTTTTTTGTGTGTGTTTGCCAAATTGCGGTCTTTTCATCCAAAAGTTTTTTTATCCAAGTCTGTTCATCTAATTGTTAAGTCTTTTCTCGAAGCAAATAAATCAGCTGCAATTTTATCTGCCAATGAAAATTCTGCACAGCGAGGCAATACTAGTAGAGCTTTAAGTGGCTAACCTCATAAGAATTCAACAAAAAACGCTATTGTGACATGCAGTCAAAGATAACTAAGTTTTGGGATTGTTTTGATAATAACAAAATCGATTCGTATAGATTACTAAAGAAATGTTCAATTTTGGCAGTACCTTCAGTTTAATAGTTACTAGATAGCAAATGAATATATCAATTAATTACTGTAATTAAAATTCCATTGATATTATTTGAATTTTATATATTTATACAGAAATTTTGTAAATAGGTCCTTTTTAATAAAAAGTGAAACAGTTACTCAATGACAATCCTCTGGTGACAATTACTTTCGAAATCAACATGGCGTCCTTAGTGTTGGGTCGTCATGTTCGTATGTTTGTAGCAGATAATGTACAGTCAAAACTAAAAGGTTTTTCATTTAACAAAGGAAAAGTAATAGAAGTAATCGTTCAAATAGGGAGTTCTTTACATTTTCATAGAGAGAAAGATTTGTTCCTTTCTTCAAGTAAGAAAAGTGATCATGTTCACAAGTGTTTCTATCTAGTTGAAGTTATAACATAAATAAATGTCTACAATCTCACCGTTAGATCTTATTGAAGGTGAAATGTCTTATCAGTATCAATTAGTATACCTTTTATATTGATGTTTCTCACTTATAATTATTGTGCAAAATGACCACTAAGAATTGTGCACACAGTCCAAAACTTGTGCTAAAAGACTTATGTGAAAAGTCTTTTGTGCGAAACATCCTGTATTCCTTATTGTAGGTTAACAGCCTGATGCCTACCTTTCCAATGGCAGAGAAAAACCGTCGTAGATCATCTTCTGTGGTGTTACTACTCAGTCCACCAACAAAAATTTTGTTTTCATTGTTTCCTGAATCCCTCTGAAATACATGGTCATATATTAACATATCAATAAAAATCATTGGTGGCAGCATCCAACTGGTATCAAGGACACATATTTTTCGATATTTTCAAAGCTTAATTTTTTCATTTTTTTTCTGCCATTGCTTAAATTGCAGTCCACAAGCAAGGATCAATTCTTTGCTTAATAAATCAAATTCTTTTGTTTTTTAGGATGACTTTTCAATATGTTCTAAGTTATTATGCCACCTTCAAAATTATTTTGTGTCCTTAAGAAACTTTGGTGTAGCCCATAAAGAGAACTTCCTTTATTGGTATTTACTGGTACACAACAGACATACTTTAGTACTCTCCTTTTAGACTTACACTTTGCCCACCAGGACTTTGTGTGGAAATCATCTCTTGCTGACCTGGTCCTCGTGGCACAGCACGCTTGGGATCAACCTGAAAGTGGCACAGGAAAGTCAATTTAACAATGCTCTGAAAACCTTGGAGTGGGAGGGGAAGGGATATGGCAATTGGTCTGGATAATGGGTAAGTGAGCTGAGCATTTTGACCCATATCATTCAGCAAGCACTGATGGTGCATATTTATTACTCACATTTACTTAAGTACAGTAAAAGGCTCCAGCCAAAATTATCCCATTGATTATCTTGTCATTCAGAGAATGGTTCAAAGTTATTGATTTTTGCAAATGACATTCATATTACTAAACAACCATGGTTTGGAACTTTCTTTTAACCCTTAGCTTACTCTTTGCATTTAAGAGATGACTCATGCAAAATGCCCACTTCTGCCCACCATCATAATCATTGCTTTGGTAGTTCCATTGTTATGAAAAACAAAAAGAGAGAGCCAAGGTCACAAAGTGTTGTAAGTGATCACCTTCAAACACTTTGACCATCAAGCAAAGACCACTTGCTGGTATTTGCCATTACTTTTCAATAAATCTCAAAAAAATAACACAGACTTCACATTTTGCCATTTACAGTGATAAACTAGATTCAACTACATGGAAGAAGTCTTATCAAATGTCTCAAGTGAAAAATGGCTGCAAACATAACCTGGAACCTTTAGTTAATTTTGCTCCCTTGACCTGGCTTATTAATATTTTTTTCCACTTTTGTTTATAGAGCAATAAGGCTTAAGGTTTAACTGCATGTCCTGTTTCTAAACTGAATTCTAATAAGTAATCCGAAGAAAGTGTGGTGTTTTTTCGATAGAATACAGTTCTCATATACTTAGCTTCAGAGGTTTGTGGGGATATAATAAAACATGGACACTTTCACAGCCTAATCAAAGAAATTTACCTGCAAGAAACTATTTCTTAACTGTACGTTCTTTAATCTAGATGGTGATTTCCTTCGGAAAGTATAATTGCAATGGAAGTTACCCAAAAAAACCTTCCTCTTAAGCTTGCTTAAGAAATAGAACGCGGACAACTACTAGCATACCTTCTTGTTATCAAGGATGTGTTCAGCCTTTTGGCACACGCTATCAACTGAAGCAGGATCTTGAAAAGTGACAAATCCGAAACCCCTATAAGGCATACCAAGGGAAATACATAAGCTTAAATCAAACACGACTGTTGACTCTACATAGACGACCAAATGTAGAGTCAAAGAAATTGATCCATGTTTTAAGATGTCAAGAATATACCTTGAACGTTTCGTGGCGGTATCCCGCATAACGATGCAGTCTGTGACTTCACCGAAGTCACTAAAATACTCTTGAAGGCTCTCTGAAATCCAGCAAACAAATCGTGATGAGTAACAAAGCACGTGGCACATTTAGTTCACATAGGGAGGAGATAGGAAAAATCTCCTTCTTCACAAAGTTGCAGAGTGTCATAAGTTCACTTTACCTTTGGTTGTTTCTGTGGATAAGCCCCCGACAAATATTTTCCTGCAAATGGTAAATTAAAAGCAGATAGCGAACATTTTAGCTAGTGGTGTTCACATCTAAATCATCGATCGTAGCTCGCGAAAGAAAATCTGGGAAAGTTTTATCTAATTCCACTGCTCGAAATATCCTGAAGGACGATGGAGGCCACAGAAGAGATTTAAAGCCAAGATTCTTACCCGATATCATCACCCTTGCTTGTACCTCGAACCATTTTTGTGTTTAACATTCGTAAGAAATTCAAGATCAGTTTGGAATACTTTTTCTGAAATGTATTAAGGACTACATGAAGATGACGCCGAACCAATGAAATATCCCGGATCAAATTTCAAAAAACCACGTGTTACGCATATCCCGCGGGATTGTCCTACGCGGATTCGGGTAGCTTACGGGTAGCTCACTTACGTAACCAAACACGTTTCAAGGAAACTAAAGTTCCATAATCACACATTGCCTACCATTTTGAGAACAGTTAAAATTTAGCAACTAAAATTCTCTGAATGATGTGAATTTACAGACAAATATCAGAGCGTTTCCATACAAGTCAGAATTTTTGACAATGCTGTTTCAACTCAAATTAATTGGTCAGAATGAATTTAACAGCATACAACAAAACAGATCAAACAAACCCACAAAATAACGTTACAAGCAGTACGTGATCTGAACAGAGGTTGCATTACACTCTTTCAGCATTCAGGAATGTTTTTAAAGTTGAAGTTCCATGACCCGTGAAGAATAAAAGTACAGTTCTATTGTTTCAGTTCTTTAGTGGTAGCCAATGAAAAGAGAAGAAAGAAACACGAATTTACACGCTGACATAACACTCCGTCCTTAAAAATATCGATTGGATGGCGAACTAAACACGGAACTGCGAGCAAATTTGTCCAATAAAGTATCTACGGAGTTTTGAGGGTTGCCTCGTACATGGCAATGTGTGAGTACGCTGGGATTCCTAAACGAAGTTACATGATAATTTTATAAATTCTTCAAGAGATAATGAATCAAAATATCTAATTAAGTGAGCGTCTGACATTTATTGTGTTATGCTAATGATTTACTTTGCTCTGTTAGCTTTTATTCTTCTGATCCTGTCCGTGGCCGGTGGAATATTCTCTGCCAGTATCGCAATAGTTGTTTGTACAATAGCGTTTCGCTATAGAAGCAGAAAACTCGCCAAGATGAAGAACAACAGTCGCACAGGAGAAATCCAGGAGTTGGAGCCCATCTTGCCATCAGCACTCGGCAGTGTAGAATTAGGTAACGAGGAGAAAAACAAAGAAAATCTCTCTCCGTGTCCATCTTGCCGAAAAGTATCAACGTTTTACAGTCCATGCGAGTGTGACATGATTTCTGCTCAAAAATTAGAGAATAAACCGTGTCAGTTGCAGTTTTCTCTTTATTACAATTTTCATAAATCTCGCTTATTCATTAATATCATGTGCGCTTTAAATGTTCCGATACGATGGTATGGAAAACACCCACCAACACAAGTGCGATTTCAACTTCTGCCAGACGACTTCAACATTTATCGAACAGAAATCAAAAGCAGCACTGCAGAACCAATATTTAACGAAACATTCGAGTTTATTGGTTACTCAGAGAACGATCTCATGGAATTAACCCTTCGCCTTGGTCTGTATGGATATGATAAGTTTAGCAGAGGGAAAATGATCGGCTACACGGATGTGCGATTTAATTTGGAGAAATTTCACCCTAGTGAGCCAACGATAATATGGAGGAACTTGTTACCCAAATCTCAGGTAAGAAAAGCTTACACCGGGTTATGACCCTGTTTCAGTTACCCTTTTAGTATAACGTGCTAATGAAAGACGATGAATTGTAGAGGACTATAATTAGACGCAACTCCTGCCATAACATTATATTAACTAATTAAGAAGACATTGCCCTCTAAGTGTTTAAAAACGTTTTCTTCTTGCACTTCCTTATTAAGTTCAATGTTGCGTAATTGGTGTTCAGAGATGTTTTGAAGAACTTAGAGAATTTCAAATATACCCCGCGCAGAAGTTCAGGTTCTTAGTTTCATCTCGACGGGAAGCATGTTTCAGCTCTCACCGCGGAAAAACGCGAAACAGACTACCCGGTGAAACTTCAAAGCATATTCCGACATAATGTCTAATATTGGCCATCTAATCCATCTAACTTCCGATGAAAGAAATTGGGTTGAGTTGCGTTGGCAGAGAATTAAGGCTAAATCATCTTAAATATTGTAGCCATTTATCTGATGAAGGTGTAATCACGTAACTATGTGGACTGATTTAATTGCGGCTTTTGATTCAAGCTTGGTAGCATTAGATCATTGACACCTCTCAGTGATCCTCTCGGCCTCAGTATTCAGTATTGTTGGTGTCCATGATCAGTAACAAACTACAATGTCGGTCCTTAACGGTAATTCAAAACCTCTTCATTAGACGAAGCACACTTCTTGTTGACCCTTGTAGAATTCGGAATGTTTGAGCTATTTGGAAAGAAGTTTCTTATTCCACTTTGGTGCACTTACTTATTTACCTAAAAATATGTTTATTGGTATAAAGAGGCAAGGCTGCATCTAAAAGGTAAAGTTCTGGCGCCTGAAAACAAAATTAAGCTAAGAGTAACGATCAAAGTAACAATATCCGTCAAACAGGTTAGGAATTTTTGACATCGTTTGTCAGTTTCAGTTTCGTGAGTGTAACCGAAGGTCCATCGAGACAGTAAAACCTTAAACTTTCTAGAACCACTGCAATTTGAGTGAGCTGTAAGCATTGTCAGCATCCGCCAATACAACATAACCTTGGTCACACGTATACTGGCTGATGATATTCCGAACTAGAGTTTGAGGTACACGTAGCAAATTCAAAAGGCTAAAAAGTGCAAATCCGATTTGCAGTGTGATTTTATTTTCAGCCCGTCTTAAAATTTTTTAAAATTCTTCTGTAGGGCTACTGGTGTTCACTTTGAATAACGAAAATAGCAAATTTTCACCAATCTTAATACGGCCGATGCAAAATTTGAGGTATGATAGCCATTATACTGCAATCTATCGAAGTCTTACTTGTATACATCTTGAAAGCGAATCAATTCTAAAAAGATAAAGGAGAAAAATCTAGCTGAAGGAAAGCGAACTGTAGAAGTATAAGGTATCGAGAACAGAAAAAGCGAAGAAGAAGGTAAAAATGTATTAAAAGAAAGAGCATTAAAAGAATAATGACACCAACTTTTTTTAGTGAAGTTTAGAACCACAAAAAGTCGTGGTATGTTGAGTAAGAATCACTAAAGCGCAACGCATAACTGACCCAAACTGAGAAAACCGGCTCACAAATTTAAACGCGATCTCACTCTGATGAGCCCTAGATTAGTCCAAATTAGAGGAGAGTTGGTCAAAGTTAGCCCACTACGCTTCGTAAAACTCACTTTTCTAAGTTTTAGAAGTACCAACTTCTAGATCGACGAGCGGCTTTTGGAAGATTAAAAATGCATCTACAATTTGGACCTAAAATGAAGGACATTTACGAAGTAGAAGAATTATCTTTTTGCACTTTAAATTCCACAAAATTCGGTCCTTTTTAGTATGAAAGTCATTATCAAGATAGATTTTCTTAAAGCCCCTACAACCCACCAACAATCAACGCACGGAAAATGGCAGATTTATCTTCCGTCGAACAGAATCCGTTTAATTTCGAAAATTGTTCAACGGGAACAACTATCCTTTTCAGTTTGAAAACTGTCGTTGGATAACAATATACCTGTCAAACTAAACAATGCCCATTGTAAAATCAGTAGCACTTGTCGAATTATTAACAATCGCCGCGAATTTTAAACTCTTTCGGTGCGTCAGCTGCTATACCTTGCTCTTACTTACCGTATGATAAATTTCAGTTATGGGAGCTCTTTCAATTGCTCTTTGAAACTGTATGAAAATTTGTAAGTTTTCAACAGAGATAAAAGGATCTCCAGAAAGCGTTTTTCAGTGATGTTCCTAAAAGTTGTCTCAGACTTCCTACCGGATAACTCCATCTAATGCTTTCTTCAAAGTTAATTTATCTTCTATCCGAAAAGAAAGCAATAACCTGTTAACGTCGCCACTGCGGGCATCTAAAGTTTTTTTAGGGCAATTTTCAAGCTAAATGCTTTTTGTATTATACATAATTTTGAATTTTTATTAAATTTCGTATATTAATTTTATCAATTGTATCATGTAAATAATCTTGAATTGTGAATAAAGTTATTATTATTATTATTATTATTATTATTATTATTATTATTATTATTATTATTATTATAACCTGTTTCTACCTCGGAAAATATTTCAACAAAGTTTGCGTTGTCTCGATAACATGCCGAAGTTTCACAAGGACTATTCGAGTTTTCGTGTGGCCAAGCTGTAGGTTGTGGCAAAAGGCATAGCTATAGCCTACAAAGATGCAAGGTTTTCATGTTGTTTGACGGTTTGCCTCGATGAGAGGTTTAATTCGGACAGAAATTTGTTACTGAGTATCCTTAGTTGTTTCTGCGACACGCGATATGTCGCTATAAATGAGTGATAATGCTTAACCTAAAAGAAAACTTAAGGGGTCAGCGAAATTTAAGCAGGTGATAGGTTGGCTGAAAGTAGCGCGCAAACGGCCATTGGAGGTTTTAAGTTGTAAAACTCGCGGGTAATATTACAGATCTATAATTTTTCTGCTACGGCAAGTAAATGCTACGAGAACAATAGGCACTCTGGAGCAAGTCAGTTTCCCAGAAAACGAAGGCATTTAAAGATTTAAAGGGAGGCGCTTCAAGTTAGAAAATTTATTCAAGTTTTCACATGTTTACATTTTGCGAAATCTCGTTTGATTGCAGTCCAGAGGACGCTCTCTAAGTTTTAGCAGAGGTGAAATACATATCTCGTTCCGCTACGAGGCAAAACGACAAAGACTCAACCTTATCATCTTGAAAGCCACAAATCTAGTGAGAACCAGCAAGTTCTTGAATGCCGGTGAGTATACTGTTTCTTGGTTGAATTAGAATGTTTAAAGACTCTGATTTAAAAAAATGGTTGAGAAGAACAAGAAAGAAAAAATGAATCCGTTGCTACCTGCAACAGATACATCCTACCATCTACTAATGGGCTAGCCCGGCTTTTAAATTTTTAGCGAGTTCATAACCTTAGGTCACAAGACTAAAATATAAAGTGACATTTTTAAGTTAGAGTCTGAAGAATATTTATTAAAAAACTCCTCAAAAATCGGCAACTATTCGAATTTTGCTCCTCCTTTTTTTTCTTTTAGCACCGTACGTGTGTGTAATGCTGGAGGCAAATGGCACGGTATTGGAAACCAGACAAACTAAGAAAACACACGGTGTAAATGCGGTGTGGAATCAAGGTTTCCTATTTGATGTCGACGGCGAAACTATAAATGAATACTCCCTCACCATCCGAGTTTTGAATCATGATCTACTGACTACGGACGAGATCATCGGTGAAATGACAATTGGACCTCTGTGTGAGGGAACTGGTAAAGAGCACTGGGACGAAGTCATGAGGAAACGGCACTCGGGAAGAGAGGTGGCAATGACACACATTCTTTCGTGAGTTAACGCATCTTAAGCAGCTAAAATTCTCCAATCTCCAAACAGACGTCAACATAGGAACTCTGCATGTTAGTGAGGTTTGTAGGGTTTTCAAATATAAGTGTTTCGGCGATACATTAAGGTTAATCTATGCAACTGCTTGAATTTGGCATCAGACTCTTCAGGCGTTTACTGAGGACCACCGTAGTAATAGCAAGATTGAGGACAAAACAAAAGTATATAGCAGCAAATTCAACTAGAAATAGTTTAATATATTATTTACCAAATATTATAACTTTTCTTAAAACAAGAATTGTATTTACAGTTTTGCATAAAAAACAATTATTAAATATACAATCCATGAGAGGGTGTAACAGACGTCATCCTATCCAATATGGCAAGCGTAACTGGGCTGGGATTTACACAGCTTGTTTCCCTAAAGTCCAGCTCGGCAAAACGACATGGATAATTAATGTGAAAAGTGATATGACGTTTGGCGCAATTTCATCTTGAAAGAGGCTGAAAGAAAAGACATACTTTGTGAGAAGAGAAGCTGATTTTAGCCTGTTCGTTTTCCAGCCATACAGATAAAAAAGCAGAAGTAGAGATAGGCTATATACCTCTAATGAAAATAAAAACTTGATCAGATGATTTTTTTTACATTGTTGGTTATTTCAAAACCACAAAATTTAGATGACCGACTGTTGACGGATTTACAACAACATTTTTTCTTTGAACGATTGATTCAGGGAAGCAGTACACATGACTATAATAAAGGTGTGGTTTAAATTACGGCAAACACCAACCTATCAATTGGTCTTCTCTTGCATGGAACCACGTGACATGAAACCAACACTCTTGCTCCTGAAAGCGTTGTTATTATTAGGCGATTATTCCACAAACATGAGTTGACTGAGTCTTACTGAAATCATCTCAAATCAAACAAGCGCGAATAAAAAAAATAATCAAAAACGACCACAAACTATTAAACCGTAAATTTGCTTATTTCATTTTAGGACATTAGGAAAACGGAATAATGCCGTACAATTGAATAACTGTTTCGTCACGATACAACGCCCAATATTCCAAACATAATAATATACATGGTTCTTATTGGTTAAGATAAATGCAGTTTTCAGGTAATTCAGTGCAGAAGAGAGTTAATTCAGTGCAGAAGAGGGTTAATTCAGTTCAAAGAAAGAAACAAATCAGACATTCTGATTAGTCAATAATCAAAGAAACTCACAAATAGCCAATCAAATGCGAGCCTTGGATGTCGCAACAAAATGTGAAAATTTGCGAGCGAAACAATGGCCGGCGTTTTAAGTAGGTTTTTTTTCGCCACCGCAGCTGAAAAACAGCTTAAACAACGAAAACACTATAAAAAGCAATGCTATTTGGTTGTCAGTTTGGAAAAAGTGGTGTTTAGAGAAGGAAATTGCCAAGGAAATCGAAAATTACGAGCCGACCCAGCTTAACACTTTGCTCAAGCGATCCAACGCCGAAATTAAAAACAGTCATAGTTAAACCTCGGGAACGACGATTCCATTTCATCGAAAGTGCTTCGGACACAGACTGAACTATTCCTTGAACTGTTTAGTCGGACTTTGAACTTTCTTGCACCTTAAAGATGTGAAGATATCATTGCCTGTTATTGTTTTGATCCTACGCGGTTGTTTTGTTGAACGCACGGTTTGAATAAATTTTTTTTTGCACTTGATGCGCGCGCTTTGCTTATGTTTAATTATGATAAGCCATCTCGTATTTATCTATGTATATTATTAACACGTAATCACATGATTTTTCTCGTGCAATTTGGAATAAACAAGCACTTGTTAATTTTTTCAAAGACCATAAATTGCACTCGCCCTACGGGCTGGTGCAATTTTGTTAGTCTTTAAAAAATTTACTCGTGCTTATTTATTCCAAATTGCACTCGAAATCATGTGATTACCTATACGAATAAAAAATTCAAAATTGTCGAATGGTAACGATCCAGTTTTCGATAACCATGCTAAATCATTTGTTTCACTCTTCCCAATTACGAACGAGCCGATGAGCATAAACCTGATTGTTCAGAATATTCAGCTAAAAGGTGAATGCTTAAGTATCATTGTGTTTCAACTAGCCCCCATCAATCACGACAGCACAACAAACAAACAAAGGTTAGACTGAAAATGCTTCGTGCTCTACTCGTCATGAGGTTCTTTAACCGCTCCCCCGCCCTATCCCTAGCCCTAACCCTAACCCTAATGCTAACCTTCCCCTGGGAACGAGGTTAGGCTTGAGAGAGAGCCTAAGGATTATGAGTCCTAAGGCGAGAGGGGAACCCAACCCATCTTCTTTCACCCGTCAACCCATTCTTAGATTTCATGCAAAGAAGACTCATTCTCTTCAGTTATTTAAAGACCTCGTGTATTAATCTGATCTTGGGCTGGAACTCTCTACCAACCGAATTAACCAAGAATCGAAGCCGAGTAGGATGAAATTTGACAAAGGGGTTGGAGATTTGGGACTGACTGTAACATGTTCTTATGTTAAATTAGTTATCTTTTTTTCAGAAAACTTACCTTTTTCGCCCTGACGTCGTTTTGTTCTCGCGCTTCCTAAGACTCAAAATCAAATCAACTTGTACGGCTTTTCTAAAAACAGAAATACAAGTTTTACAAATTACCTACTGAACTTTGCGCCGTAGGTTTGTTCTTCTTACGGTACAATGATGCTTACTAAGCGTGAAGTGCATGGTTAATTATTGTTACTCTTCAGTACTGATCAAGATGGATGAACAGGGAGAAATGGTTTGATACCGACTTTGTGTCCCAATGATCATTAAGGCAAAAACACGACCTCATAATTGCGAGGAATTGACTCGAATTCTTGGATAGTACAGACCAACAATTACAGGTAGCAGATGGCTACATGCTCGTGTAAATCAGGGCAAAACACCAATCTTTCTTTGTACAAGAACTGGACATTGTGTGGTCCTGAATCTGTGCTTCCCACTCTTAAGTTGGAATTCATATTATAAAAATACATGATCTACAGCAATTCGTTATATGGAAAGTCAGTCTTTCGTTACAGGAAGTGGCCGGTCTCAATTTCCACAAGGTAGTTGTAAACACTGACGTACTCCTCAACTGATGTTTTCATTCTACAGAGTTCTTCCACCTGGTTTCGCAGTTCGTCGCGTTCACATTCCAAATGTTTGCTGCAAAGACATTTAGTAACGTCATGACTTGCGGTGGGAACAATTTTTGACATTTGAAATCAACGTGTAAGGTCAAAGAACAGATAAACACAAAAATTCAATGGAAAGGGAAAAAAAAAACCTTTTGACTTCCAATGCAACCTTCTGAACTGTTAACTGCTTGACCTCCGTATCAAGTTTGGAGTTTGCACCTAAACAACGGGAAGAGAAAAGACCAGAAAGGCTAAGTTCATCCATGAAAATAGGAATTATTCGTTTGTTTAGTTCAGAATAAGGCTCCCTTAAAAGACACATACACAAAGACAAAAACGCCCCAGTAAGCCCATAAAGGTTACAATACTTTAGTTTTGTAAGCATCTTCAACTTTGCAAGCATTTAACTTACCAAATAACTGATCGTCATCTTCATTATGCACCTGAGTGAGGCATCAGGATGAGCAATGGTTACAAATTTATCAACAAGTTGTCGCCGTTGTGTTTGCGAAATCTATCGTGGTTTGCGTGTCTAGATGGAATCTATGAAACACCAACGTATTGAAGGAATCTTGCGAGCAAGTATACGGATATCAAACGATTACAGAACGAATTTTGCAAAGACAACTTTTCTTAATGAAAAAGGGCGGATAAGAACGAATGAACACACCACAGCGTAATTTGATAGAAAGGTGTTAATCGTAGAATCGAGGGGAGCTGAAAATTAAAATCAAATAAAAATTACAGAAACCTGAAAAAGTTTTTCCTTTTCAGACTTGGTGCTCTCTTGCTGCAGATGTCTTCCTATCTCCTCTTCATACGCTTCTCTCAGTTGCTAAAAATAATCAACAAGCTCTTTTTTCAGGTCAGTTAATATTCAAAGGTGTTAAGTTAGGATATCGTGCGTCATTTGGAAACTACCTTAAAATACTGGAAATAGTAAGATGAACTCTATAAAGATAACAAAACATCACAAATGAACGAGGAAACTCAACGATGATGACGATTAAGACACATTCCATTGGATACACAAAGCGTGAAGTAGCTCCCTGAACCCTACTAATAAACAATTGAACGTATGCTACCTGCATGCCATGAAGCAGGTCCTGAGAATTCTGCAGCGCTGAATCTCTATCAGCTGTAAGATCCTCTACTCGTTTGCGTAGATAGTAGTCTTTGGCTGCAAACATTTTAACGCCCATACAATCCGCGAGACAATTTTCTGCTGAGAGGCGGCATGGACCACAACTTCTATGACGTAAGAAAACACGCTACTGTCCAGTCTGCAGTCAACCATGCAGTCATAAATAGTAAGCAATAAGTGCCTAACGCGGATACGGAACGCTTCCAAAAAGGCCATATAGTCAAGAATATATATGTACACCGGTACTTGTCATTATGACATTAAAAACAGGCAAAACCCTGACTTAATAGCAAATTTTGTAAACTGTACTTCTGACCACAAGACTGACAAAAAAGTCTGAACGTTCCAATCTCCATCGTAAGTGACTACACCATGACTGCACTTACTTTTTAATGTCACCATCAGATCTTCTTCTGGTTAACTGGTGGCTTTTGGCAAGCCCTGCTGACGTCTCCACCGAGTTACTTCTCTAAATTAAAATAAATCAAATTATTAACTTGAACTGAACAGTCTTCTCAAACTTGATCAAATATACAATCTTGCATTCAATAATCCGCCTCATCTGAAAATACTACGACATAGAGTTTTAGCAAAAGAGGGCGAGGGAGAAACTTACACGCTGCTTATACATCCATACTTAAGGAAATCACTGAAATGGTGCCCGCGGTAACGTACAAGCACCGCCGCCACAAATGAACGTGAATACTATATCTTACTCGAAAAGCAAATAAGTTCTCCATTTCTGTTTTAGAGTTCAGTATCACCTGCTGAGTTGAGGATGAAAGTGCAGACTCTAGCTCTATAATCTCCAAGCATCTTTGAGCTAACTCGTCTCTTAAAGTACAAATCATTTGGCTCCTGAAAGACAGTGAGAGGATATCAGGTTATTACATTGTGAAGTCGATGATGTGGTATATTAAAATTGTTTCCGCGTTACCTATGCAAAAACTAATTTGGGTTAATTCTGACCTGCTTGATGTGATAGCTGCAAGGTCGGCATAGTCTTTTCGTAATTGCGTCAGCTTTTCAGCCCATTTCTGTGACTGAAATTGAAGCAAGAATACTTTAATTGGTCACCAGGAAACAAAAAGGGTGTGTCTAATAATTGTTTTGATAGCATGGGCAGCAATATTTTCCGTTCCCAATTTGCCAGACTCCTGCTTAACTCGTGCGTGTATCAGCTTGGTCAAAAAGGAAACGGAATTGACCAGTCCGCTGTTTACTGTATTGGCCAGTGGTAAAGACCGGGTATATTGACAATACAAACAAAAACAGAAACTTACAGGTTAATGTAATGTGTAATGCTCAAAGAACGTGCCCTGGGTTG